AAGAAAAGAGAGAGGGAGCGGAAGAAGAAGGGCCGGCCTCGAGTCACGCGAATAAACGCTTAATAAAAAGTTTTTCGCGTGACTCGATTTGTGCAACCGCGTGCAACGAACGCTTTATCGGGTTCTATTTATTAGCGATCTTTTCGTCGTGCAAATTTAACGAATGAATGAAAAGCATTTTCGTCATCGATTTTCATTCGTTTCTTTCTTCTTTTTGGAATTTTTTTTTTTTTCTCTCTCTCGTTCAGGTGATTTTTATGGGTTTTTATGGGTATTGAGGATTTATTTGGTTTTTGGCAGTTTTTATTCCTTGGTCGATTGTTATTTCGTAGAGAGTTGGAGAGGAGGAAGAATGTTCGTTCAGTTGCAAAAGCGATCTCGTTATCTTATGTAGGATAGTTAGTTTCGTAGAATTGTATTCTAATTTAAAATCAATCTTGAAATTATTTTTCTATCTTTCTGAAAAGATTTTTTTTCTAAAAAAAGAAAGGATATTCGGTATATATTATTTTTAAAATATTTTTATAGTTTTGAAGGAATAAGATAGGATAAGTACGAAAATCCCATTTCGGAAATCAAATTTGTAACCATTGAATATCAGTCCAAGTTTAGAAACTTGTAATAGGGGCGTGAGCTTGCGATGAAAGATCGTTGAAAATATATATAATTCTTTCCTGTAAGTTTGTTTAACCAACTGTTCAAATAATTAATAAACTGTTTAGATAAGTTCTAGCAAACCTGAGAAATTGCTCAACAAGCCATTTCGAAACTCGTCGAATTTTAAGTCGAGGAAAATTTTTTAAATTCAACTTGGAGCGCCGTTATCAATCGAATAACAAAATAGATGATCATTCTTTTTTAATTATTCGAAAAAAAATCAGTACATATTAATTTTATATTTTTATATAATTTAATTAATTTTATATTTTATATAATTTTATATTTCGATGATCGATCGATTCAAAAGAAAAAAAAAAAGAAATTGAGAAATTTCAGTCTCGTTCACAAAATTCCACAAAGTTCGACTAACTATTCTAACGTATTAACATCCTTCCACGATCTAATAATCATTCATCGAAATACATTAAATATACAATACAATAAATATATAACTATAATATAATATAAATACATAACACAAATACATTAAATATATAATACATTAAATCATCTCGAAAGAAAAAAAGAGAGAGGAAATTCAGAATGTATACAGTTTCAAAATTCGATATCGAGCGGCGAAAAATTCAGAAAATTCGACTCCTTCGAGAAAACTTACAATCGTGTCATTCATTAGCGCCATCTACATTATCAATCGCCTTGACCGTGAAACTGACTCTGTATTACGTAACCCAATCCAAGTCCACAAATCGCGCGCTCATGGTCGAGCGGAGAAACAGATATCAGGTCTCGAATTTTCTTCGAGGTCGTGAGTGAAGGAAAACAAGTCGTAAATGTCCCTTCTGAATTCGTGTGTCAATAAACCGCAGAATGATTAGACAAACGTTCGATTTGCATCGTAGCTAGAAATTCATCGTAGCTCGCAATGTTAAAAGCTCTTGAGATATAAATTTTGTTATATTCGAGTCTTTACTTTTCTTCGCGCGCGTGTGTGTGTGTGTGTGTGTCGCTTTCGTGTTTCGGGTTTGCGATTCGAAATGCTTTTAAAACATATTCTTTTAAGATTTTTCTCTTTTTGCGTCTTATTACCGTCGAATGGTTTTGACTTTTTTCTTTTTTTTTTTTTTTTTGAAATCTTTTCTTTTAAATTCTTTTATTTCGTAGAATTGTATTCTAATTTAAAATCAATCTTGAAATTATTTTTCTATCTTTCTAAAAAGATTTTTTTTCTAAAAAAAAAAAAAAGAATATTCGGTATATATTATTTTTAAAATATTTTTTAGAAGTATATAATGAAAGAAAAGAATGTGTAGCGGAGGGAAAAACTTCTTAGAAACGTGAAAAATAAACTCGAAGAAAAAAATAAACTCTTCCAGTTTCGAAAGCAAGCGTGGAGTTTCAATACGAAAATCCGGGTAAGAAAAATGATGAAACTTTTATCGATCTATGAACAGGTGTCTGCTACATACGTATAATTTATACGTATATATATAATATATATTCCTCCATTTCTATTCTGGACGAGAAACATAACCTTTCTTATACCCTGATCGTTAATTTACATCACATTATAAATTTAATCTGTTTTTAAAAATTATTTACTATCCTAACTATACCCAATATCATTCATTCATATTTTCGATGTTTAAAATTTTAAATTTCAATGAAATTTTAAATTTCAATGATCCATAATTTATTTTTCACGTTTCTAAGAAGTTTTTCCCTCCGCTACACATTCTTTTCTTTTATTAATATGCTTAAAAAAATANAATAACATATATCGAATATCCTTTTTTTTTTAGAAAAAAGAAAATCTTTTTAGAAAGATAAATTTTTATTATTTACTATCCTAACTATACTCAATATCATTCATTCATATTTTCGATGTTTAAAATTTTAAATTTCAATGAAATTTTAAATTTCAATGATCCATAATTTATTTTTCACGTTTCTAAGAAGTTTTTCCCTCCGCTACACATTCTTTTCTTTTATTAGTATGCTTAAAAAAATATTTTAAAAATAACATATACCGAATATCCTTTTTTTTTTAGAAAAAAGAAAATCTTTTTAGAAAGATAGATAAATAAAAAGAAGAAACAAAAGGCTCTTCGTAATTCTCAATTCTCGAAATCCCAAACCATCCGCGATAGCTCTACAATTCTCAATTCTGAAAATCCCAACAATTTCGATACTTTACAATTTCCAATAAAAAAAAGAGAGAAGAAAATAACGAATCCGAAGAAGAAGAAGAAGAAGAAGAAGAAGAAGAAAAACAAAGAGAAAAGCATCGTCAAAGTTGCCTCGATCTTCCCCCTCCCCCCTCCAAGTGGCCACACGTTGCCCCGATCGCAAACAGATCGCAATGTTTCCCTCGATCGAAAACACATCGAAGGGGTATATAGCCGAGGAAGTAGCCGGGATAATAAACGAGGGATCGAAGCGATGAAGACGCACCCGCCTCGACCCGGCTACGTGATTCGTGAATTTATACTGGAATCTCCTAGGAAAGCGTTTTCTTAGAGGGAAGGCTGGGCTCGATTTTCTCGTTTTCGAAATGGAGTGCGTAATCGGATATTGAAAATTGAATAAACTATTGTTATAGCTCAGGAGGAAAAATTGGAAACTTCGATGATGGAATATAATTGAAAAATTAAAGTTCTTTTTATATTGGTGGAATTGGATTTTGTTAAGATTTTAAATTCTTTAAAATTTTGATAAATAATCGATTCGTTCGAATTTTAATAATTTTTACGAGAACAATGATTTTAATATTTCGAAATTAATGCGCGATCTGTTATTCCACCCTTGATTAAAATTAAGATTTATTAAAATTGTTAAATAAGAATTGTTAAATGAAAAATTTGAAAAATTTGAAAATTAAAAATTCTTTTTATCGTCGAATTGAATGGAGTTTCGTTAAAATTTTATTTTAAGTTGAATTATTTTAATTTTTACGAAAATAATGATATTAAAACGAATATTTCGAAATTATGCGATCTATTATTCTGTCCTTGATTAAAGTCGAGATTATTAAAATAAGAATTTGAAAAAATTAAAAATTTAAAATTCTTTTTATCGTCGAATTGGATGGAGTTTCGTCAAGATTTTACTTCAAGTTGAATTATTTTAATAATCTTTATGAAAATAATGATATTAAAATGAATATTTCGAAATTATGCGATCTATTATTCCGTCCTTGATTAAAATTAAAATTATTAAAATAAGAATTTGCATTGATAGGATGTATCATTAATCGATATATCTTGTGTCGTATCATTACAAATAATGATGTAATTGAACATTGAAAGATCGGAATTTCCTTGTGTTTTTATCGTTTACGCGATTGTAAATTTCCAACAGATCGAATACATTTGCTTAATTAGTTTAATTATCCGCTTTTTTTTATCATCATTATCGGTGGCGTGGTCACTGTTTTTCTATCCTTTTTTTTCCAGAGAAATATAATAGGTAAACATTGTAACCTCAATGAAACTTGACTTCTTACAAAAAAAAAAAAAAAAAAAAAAAAAAAAGAAAAAAATGCAAAATATATTTGAAATATTACGGAGAAAAAAATAGAATACTTGTAACAACAAATTTTCTCTTATTTTTGTAAACAAACAAGGCGCAATTATTAAAATTTAACAAATAATATCTTCGCATAAAATATTTATTACTTCAACGATAGAATTATCTCTCTCTTCTTTTTTTTTTTTTTTTTTTTTTTAAAACACCAATTATCGTATTCCCATATAAAACTGTATTGTAAAATTCTCTATAACAATTACCAAACATTTTTCCAATTCGTTTAAAAAAACTCCTTTATTCGATTATTCTAATTAAATACGGCGAGTATTACAACCATCTCATAACCTGTCCTCAAAATGGCGCCTCGTTAAAAGCGCGGGATTTTTAACGAGATCCCCCTCCTTTGTCCAAAAACGAGCTTCTCCTTGCCGTAAAAATACGATTTTTAAAAGAAACACAATTGTACGGATTTATTCGCACAATTCTTTCATTAACTTTCGAAAAAAGAAGAAAAACTGAAATGTCGAAACGCTTCATTGACATCATTTAATCCCCAATCAATCCCCGCCTCTAATAAACTTCTCTGAATTACCAAACTTCACCCTCTCTCTCTCTCTCTCTCTCTCTCTCTCTCTCTCTTACACACACGCGAATCGATCCTAACTTCCAACGTGTCCCAAATCCCACGAAATTATTCGCAAATCACGTCAAATCGGTTCCTCTTAACCGTTCCGCGAAACATTGGCAGCAATCTAGAAGGCGTTGAACTCGACCAGGCGACGATTTACCGAAAGATCCCGGGGTTTCCACGCGAAACAAAGAAAGAAAGAACGAAAGGAAACCTTGTGTCTTACCTTCAGAGAGGCCATGTCGGACACGGATCGATGAGTCTGAATGGTTTCCAGTTGGTCCAGGCACCAGTCCAGCTCCTCCATCGTCTCCACCGCCAATTTCATGTAGTTCTCCTCTGAAAGGAAGAGAGCAAAGGGAGAGGTTGAGACCTCGACAAAGGAAACGGGCGAGGGTTGTTGGCTGGCAACATGATGAAGTTAATAGTTGCGCGAGAAGAGGCGAGAAAACGAGTACTTGTTCGCCGAGTTTTCAGTTGATCGAAATCGTTCTCACGGATCTTTTAAGGGGATATTTCGATGTTTCTCTTTTCTCGATTTGTTTAATCGAATCGTTGATCAATTTAATTAATTAATTGAATCATTCTTACGTTTTTTTTTAATAACCTTTCGGGAGTGAGAGGATTGTGACTGCGTGAGAAGGGGAGAAGGAGGAGGAGGAGGAAGAGGAGAGAGATGGAAATGAATAAATGGAATCTTGAAGTTCGTTAAAGATGAAAGGTTGCATAAATGAAGCGGGGGGGGAAAGAGGATCAATCGTGGGAACAAAAGAGAAAAGTGAATTGACGTTGGAATAGAAATGACACGTGGAAATGAAACGTGGGGGGAGACACAAAAAGCAAAGAGATTTTGAGCAATTTCGAGAATTTGATTTTTCAAACGAGCGGAATGCTCTTTCTACGTGAATAATTCTATCCCCTCCTCCCCTGAGAAGGGAGGATTTGCTCTTTTTTTTAATTTAAAATCGAGTTTAATGAGAGGAGGGAAATTAATTGAATTTTCGTGATACATTTAAATGGATTCGTACGAACAACCCTTAAATAAACGTAATATAATGAGGATGAACGTAAGTATTTCTCACTTAATTCTCGATACGTAATTTAATTAATAATCGGGGGAAAAAATGTAATTCTTACCCCCCGGTGCCAAGATCCGTGGTTGCGGCGTGCTGCTACCCTGTGCACCGCTACTCCTTCGTGATCTGAAGATAAAAATATCCCGAAATAACTTTAACATCAATCTCCATTCGTCGTAGGAGAATAAAATTATTGTTAAATTTTTCTTTTCTTTTGATTTTATAGAATCGTAAATTTGTAAAAAATTTGTAAAAAATTAAACTATTTTACAATCGATGAATAGTTTAAAAAAAAGGTATGTACTAATAAAATCAGAAATTAATGAAAAAAATAATCAAAACAATTGTCGTAGAAGAATAAAATTATTCTTTAAATTATTATATAAATTTTTCTTTTGATTTTATAAAATCGTAGATTTGTAAAAATTTGTAAAAATTAAACTATTTTACAATCGATGAATAATTAAAAAAAAATGGTATTTATTAATAAAATCAGAAATTGATGAAAAAAATAATCAAACAATTGTCGTAGAAGAATAAAATTATTGTTGAATTTATTTTTTCTTTTGATTTTACAGAATCGTAAATTTGTAAAAATTAAACTATTTTACAATCGATGAATAATTAAAAAAAGATATCTATTAATAAAATTAGAAATTGATGAAAAAAATAATCAAACAATTATCTTAGAAGAATAAAATTATTGTTGAATTTATTTTTTCTTTTGATTTTATAGAATCGTAAATTTGTAAAAATTAAACTATTTTACAATCGATGAATAATTAAAAAAAGATATCTATTAATAAAATCAGAAATTGATGAAAAAAATAATCAAACAATTATCTTAGAAGAATAAAATTATTGTTAAATTTCTTTTTTCTTTTGATTTTATAAAATTGTAGATTTCTAAAAATTTTTAAAAACTAAACTATTTTACAATCGATGAATAATTTAAAAAAAAGATATCTATTGATAAAATCAAAAACAATACGTCGATATAACAAACAATTGGATAAGGTCTGCAAGATGATTTAAGCGTTCAGTAGTGATCTCCACTAAAGAAAAGGAGACATCTTGGAACTCACTCATCGATACGTTTATTTTAACTTTCAGCTCGCTGTTCCACTTTGTACCAATGCACAAAGAAAATTTCGAGTTTCTTAATTCAACCACATTGGAATTAAATTTCAAATATCGCTGATTTTTTTCAAGCAACAATGGCCGAGACATCCAACTTTCAACACCAATATGTAAGATATCTGTTGCAATTTCTTTGGATTTCCCAATTTTCAAACGCTTATCCAAAATGTTTATTACATTTAATTATTATTATTTAATTATTTAATTATTACATTATATTTTATTATATTTATTATATTAATTATTACATTTAATTATTATTATTTAATTATTTAATTATTACATTTAATTATTATTATAATTATTTATAAAATGTTTATTACATTTTAAACAATGTGTATCATCATCTCATACAAAGATTAAAAAAAGAAAAAAAAATTAAAGTTACTTACTAAACAAATGTAAATTTTAAATACAAAAAAATTTCGATTACTCACTTGTTGGTGGGCACATTAGTAAGCGACAGGAAGTTGTTCCTGACCGAGCGCAGAGAGGCAAGGATCTGCGCGAACGGCGTGACGATGAGGTCCTCGCCATGGCTGCAAGATCAAACGAAGGAAGGATCAATTCTCTTCTACTTTTCGAATCGATGTGTCAAGCGTGATACAACGAGGGGAGGATCAATGGGCGAACATTTAAGCTTGCAATGAACTTGACGTTTACTTAACGTGTTTCCCAAAAGCTGCGCTCTAAATAATTCATGCAGGCGTGTGGCGTTCTCTATCGGTTGCAAACTGTACACCATCTCTTCATTATTATTCTTTTCTTATTTCTTATTTTTTATTTTCGATCGATCCAATTCCATTTCGAATGGAGATTATTTTAAAAAATTAATTTGAAATTAAAGCAGAAAAAGAAAAAAACAAAACTGCGTGAAACATTGTTGTTTTCTTCTTCGAATCTTGAAACTTCATGAATTTTGAAAGGAAAAATTCTGGAAGGAAGAGGGGATCCATTTAAAAGAGAAATCGTTCATAATTCTCAGAGGAAAAAGAAAAAAAAATATTCGTTCGATTTTACGAAATTCGAAGAAATCGTTGGAAATCATTCAACTTTCACAATCGAAATTTATTTATAAGCGAAAACAACGCAGCACTAAAATTTATAACATCCACCTAAAAGTAGAAACACGCTGCCCGATTCGTGCCAATTTCCGTCTCAAATCAATTATAAAACATATTTTCGCCCGATACTCGATCAATGCCTCCTCCTCCTCCGATCGAAACGATCGTTCCGATTAAAACGAGATTATCATCGCGCTACGAAAACGAAATTGAACAGACGATCCTTCCTGATCCTAGGAATAAATCGTCTAACCATACAATTATACAATTAATTCAACGAAAAGAAGATTATTATACCTAATTACACCTTCGATATTGAATCAAATTTCTCAACTTTTCGATCAACGCCTCTTTTTATCGATCAATATATCATCAATCGTACACAATTTACATTCTATTCCAATCTCTGGTTCCATCCCCATCGATCATATCCAAACATCGTTCAATCGAGACGCTGTGTAATTACGAAAACGACCGATTATTGGAACAAACAATTACAATTTACATTCTGTCTACAACATTTGTATCTAGGAAACTACTTGAAACCACGTTGAGAAAACGTTGCGAAACAATTGAAATCGCGAAATTATTTTTCTTATGTAAAATGCATATTGTAAAAATTCCAAAAAAATAACCCCCTCTCAAACTATCCAGCTCAACCACTGTTATTCCACCAACAGGGATCACAAGCCAATTAAACCAGGATCAATTAATCCGTGAATATATCGACGACGCTTTTATCATTATATATATATATATATAATATATATATATATATATATATTGATAGTTTAATGCGTCGTTGATTCGACCTTTGTCCTTCCCCTCTCGCAGGGAGGGGGTAATTTTCGCTGGCAAAAGCGTGAAATAATTCACGCACGTGCACGCGTGGGAAGGCGCGTGATTTAATTAAAGGAAGTTGCTCGATGCAGGCGAGCTCTTGTTGGAAATCGGAGATACAATATACTGGCCGATGATATTTCATCGTAAATAGATATCAATCTCGTTAACATGGGTATAATTAGTTACCTGTTGCATCTTTTTCTTTTTTTTCGTTGCGCATTGCGTGGGATATAAAAAGGGTAAATCAATGAAATTGTATATATAAATGTATATAAATTAATTGTTATGAATATACGAAGCATTCGAATTTTCATTTTATTTTCATTTCGAAGAAAGAACGAATGATAAAAATGATGATTTATATTACTAGTTGCTGTATGTATATATATATATTTGGTCCAATCATCGTTACATCCCAAGGGCGCAACCCCAATCTCGTCAGGATTACAAGTTCTTCGTGTCAAAGTACCTTCGTCGAACTAGCTCGAGCAGAAGATGTTCGAACATGGGAACATCAATCAACCCAATCTGTGCAGTCTGGAGGAAAGTAGGTTGCCCTTAAATATGCCCCCTGCCCCCTTCCACGAAGATCAAATGACACTTGGATACGAGTCTTGGGGTGCAATCTTCTTTACCTACAAGAGGTCAATTGATTTTCCTCCTATTTTTTTTTTTTTTTTTTTTCAAGCGAACCAACAATCTTTCGTTATTTATCCGTTATTCAGATCGAAAGAAAGAATATGGAAGAGATTTTGGAGAACGAGAAACGAGAATCTGTATCGTAGTCTCGTGTAAAGGAGACCAGATTTTTGTAAAGACTTATTTTAAAATTCATTGTTATAAAACTGGAGAAGAATCCTCCGATCCGTGCAGAAGAATCCTAGGGTTTATCCCGTATTTATTCGACTTTGAATCAGCTTGCCACGATCGGGAAATTGACGAGGGCCGAGGAAGAGGAGAAGGAGGAGGGGAGGGGGGATGGTTTTCTGGGTCAACGCGTGCCACGAATGCTGGAGAATGGTAAATATCGACCTCTTGAGGGTGATTTTTGATGTTTATGGTCGCTGGTCAAAGAGAAGGGGGATGCTGGAATGTCAGATTAATCCGTGATGCATAGCATCGAAGAAATGCGCTGCATCTTTATTACATGCTACGTTACGTTTAAAAAATCGATATATATATATATATATATATCATTGCGATACAATAACTTTTGATGTTTAATACGATAAAATGAAATAGATAGATAGATAGATCTCGACGGATTTTTTTATAATAATTTTCTCGATAACGATTGAAAATCGTTAAGACGAATTTCAAATCGCAGAAGAATTTCAAAATGTTCAGAAGAAAAAGAAGAAAGAGAGAGAGTCAGAGAAAGAAAGAAAGAAAGAGAGGCAGAGAGAGAAAGAAAGAGAGGCAGAGAAAGAAAGAGAGGCAGAGAAAGAAAGAGAGGTAAAGAGAGAGAAAGAGAAAAAAAAAGAGGCAGAGAGAGAGAGAGAAAGAAAAAGAGGCAGAGAGAGAGAGAGAGAGAGAGAGAGAGAGAGAGGCAAAGAAAGAAAGAGAGGTAGAGAAAGAGAAAGAGAGGCAGAGAGAGAAAGAAAGAGAGGCAGAGAGAGAGAGAGATCGTTTTCCAATCCCAACTAGGTCATCCTACGAAAGAACGTGTTTCCATGAACGAGCTACCCTCACTGTCCTTTCTCTCTCTTCTCGTGAATTCCTAATTAAAACTATTTACAACAGTTTACTCTACCCTCGAAAACATCCCTTCCTTCCATTGTTCTAAAATAAAAAATATCTTTATGTCTGTCTATATTTTCCTCTTTTCTATTTTACGATATAAATATGAATGAAATGATCTATTCGTTGCGTCGTCGTCATGTAAATATTGTGTCACCTATTGTATCGTATCCACTTATTGTTTCTTCGAAGAAGATCGAGGATATATGGGATATGATTGACGCACGAGCACGTCGAGTTATTCGATTGCGTAAACGAACAACTCGTTTCGTGTTTATCGGAGGGGAGGTTTAACCAACGGCGGAGATATTGGCTACGGAAACTTGTTGAATGCGTTTTACAAAAAAAAAAAAAAAAAAAAAAAAAAAAAAAGGGAAAAATTGAACTGAACGGAAGTTTATTTTGAAATGGAGTAAGTGGAAAAAGTAAAAATAGAATCGGAAATTTGTGCATATATAGAAAGAGAGAGAGAGAGAGAGAGAGAGAGAGAGAGAGAGAGAGAGAGAGAGAAAGTACGTGTAAATAAAACGATTGAAATATTAAAACACTTTAGGATGAAAGAAATTCGAAGTTATCGAACGTTGGTTGAAACGTTATTTATTTTAATTCTCTTTTATTACGCGTAATTCGACAAAAATGAAAAATATATATATATATGTATTATCTCGCTCCAATTACTATCCTCATCGTACAAATTGAAGCTTCATTGAGGTGAATGGTGATCCAATTATAATCTTGCAATGGTGAAAATTACATTTCAGAAATGATAGCGTTTCGTTAAGCAAAAACAATAATTCGATTGGACACGGTGAAGCCTGTTTAATGAAAGCGTGATTAACGCATCGGTTGCAATTTCAATTCCATTCAGAACGGATCGACAGATAGGTAAATCTTTGCTATACGTGTAATATTTCAATTTTGAACAATCGTTTATCGAAATTAAATTTTCTTTTTCAAATTATTAACCGAATACGATTCGATCGCTTTTAATCGCCAGAAATAAAATATTTTTTTGCATTCCAATTTTTTTCAAATCTCGAAAATTCTAAAATTATAATATCAATATTATAGAATTAAAATTCTAAAATCTCTAAAATTAGTTTTAATTTTAAAAAAATTTTTAAAAAAAAAGTACGAGATTCGGAATTTTCTTAAAGTTTCATTTATTTAAAAAGAAAAAAGAAAGATGGATTAATGAAATTCCTTAAATTTTATCGTTAATAATCGTTGCAATAAATTCGAAGTAACGATTTTGCAGTATTTATTTAGTTTAATAAAAACTGGATTGCAAACTGAGCAAATTTGGAAATAGCCACTGGAGTGGACAGCATTAAATGAGTTTCTGGCTTTTGTCCAAAGTGCAGATCTATTTTCTGTGACATCCATTCGCTCGATTCATTATCGCGTGTATTTCAAACCGATAAACTTAAGGTTAATAAGTTATTCATGAATGAATCCTTTGATCATCGGCCAATTATTCTAATCCTACGTTCTAGGGATTGCGAAACATCTGAAATTATTTAACATTTGTCTTAAAATTTGTAGATAAGAAAAATTGATTAAGATAAAAATTCACTTTTTTCAAAATATCAACAACAATCTTCCCCTTTATAAATTTCTTCAAGTACTTCTTTGGAAGATAAGAAGATCGGATGATGATAAAAATTTAAAAAAAAGTAATTTCTTCTAAATATAAACAATGTTTCGATTCACAATTGTAAAAAAAAAAAAAAAAAAAAAGAGAAATTCTTTGTGTCGAGCAAACATATTATTTGTATTGACGATTACTGGCTCGATCGAGTTAATTCATCAAGATATCAGAGATTACGATCGAATACAGCTTCTCGGTATTATTATCGAAGGAGGATTATCGATTTATCGATTGAGCAAAC